ACAACAGACACCACTCCTGTTATCTCTTTCTTTTCACTTATCTCACTCTAAAGACCAATTATGCCATGGACATGATGGCCTAAGATGTCTGGGGAGAGTGGGATATCTGGTACTTCTCTCTCTGGTACTTCTCTCTTTGGTTTGTTCTTTCACTGTGCCAGAATGCACAAGCAATCTATGTACATCTCTACAGGTATATGAGTGTGGTACCTTTCCAATTGTCTTTCTGATACTTTTATTTGTCATTCATTATTTTAGTCAGGACATAGTCTATGCACCTTAAGTTTTAATCTTGTTGTTAATTTACTCAAAAAGAAAGGGAAACTACCCAAGGATTTTGATAAAAGAGAGAAGTTGATAAAACCGTGGCAGACAGTCTTCCGGGTCTTCCAGAAGACAGGCAGAATTTTTAAGTTTACATAGATGGGCATCTAATTCAATCTGTAAAAAGACAATCAAAATTGGAGGATGGGTCAACAAAGATAATTTGGAAGACTGTCAGAAAATATTTTCAAATCTGACCCCGTAAAAGACTATGATCTTAGTTTAGCCTGAAAAGCTGAGAAAGACGGTATGCATCCTTTTCTCCTTAAATAGTTTGAAATCCATTGAAAAGGATTTTAAAACCTCAATTTTCCTCATCAGTGAGAAAGAGGGGGGTCACATGAATGTATACATCTGCACATGTACATGTATAATTGACAATGATACACGGCACAGCAGGACAGGGTAGGTTCAATGAAGTGTGAATAACCATACAATCAATACCATGGGTGAAATTTGTAAAAACTGAAAATCCTGAACACACACATTTGCAATTCCTCATGGCATGTAGACTTTAAAAAAAAAGGTCAAAATGAAGATGGAAAATCCTGAAATTTTCCCTCATGTAATACAGACTGGTACTCACTTGGGCGTACTCCCCACGCTACTCTCAGATTCCACTCTCTTCCGTGGCCTCTTCACTACTCCCATCTTCCTCTCATGCTGTCTTCCTCGCACATCCTCATCCTCACGCTCCTCATCAATGAGGAGACCATCGCAATCACTGGAGTCCTCATCTTCCTCCTCCTCGTCGCTCTCATCCTCCTCGTCATTGTCTGTACCGTCCTCATCTGAACCGTTCTCCTCTTCAATGATTTTACTTTCTTTGGAAATCTGAAAAATAGATAAAAATGAACATGTGGTCTTTTTTTGTTCTTCGTGATCCCAAAGTTTTCAGCAAGAACACATTTCCCTTAGTTCAGTTTTGAGTTCTAAAGAGTTTTCAATTTAAGTAACATCACAATAAAGCACTAAGTGCATAGTTTCATGACCTTTAGGAAACAAAGCTGGAGCAAAATTGCTAACCATAAACTTGAAATCAAATCCCCCAATAGACTGAAAAATGGGTCAAAGGATATATTCAAGGAAAATGAAAACCTCCACAAATGATTTCAGATCGGACTTCTTCAGTAACTTTTCCCATGTTTTCATCAAGGAGATATTTCACCTTAATTTTCCTAACATTTTTATGAGTGCCACACCCACACAAATGCACTAACTGGCCCTAAAACCTAGCAGGTTCAAGTTGTGATTATTTTAAGACTTTACATTAAAGACAGTGGTAAAGGTCTCTAGAGTCTGCAATATGGGGGCATAATGGTGACTTAAGAAATCCTTTGCACAGGACCCTTGAGAGTACAATACACTGTGATATGGACATAGAACTACATCAAAATGTAAATTACAATTCACCTAGATGTGTTGTTCAAAAGGAAAAATTCATTTAAAAAACATAAGTGTCCAGTGTGAGACTTAATATATTTTGTCTTTAGATTAGTACTATGTTGTATAAGGAAACTGTTACTGACCTCAATCTGTTTGGCCAGTGCCCTGGGGTCAATCTGCGAGTCGTCCACGGTGACCGGGACAGGGACAATGCCCAGCTCCATGCACTTCTTATGGTGTGTCTTAGACTTCATGTGTTTGGTCAGGTTCCCCTTGGTCTTGAACGAGAAGTTGCAATGGCGGCAGTGATAGGGACGGAAATCTGTGTGCGTCCGAATATGCTTCTTCAGCATGCTGGGTTTCTTGCAGCGAATTCCGCATTCTTCGCACACATATTTCCCTCTGCCTCTTCCCCGGATGTACACATACTCCTCCTTGGACACGTAGCCACCAGTGAATGACTTGTTGGAGCTAGCAGGGGTCAGGGTCATGTCAAGGTCACCAGAATGCCCAGAATGTCCACTACTGAGGCTTTGTGATGAGGACTCTGACGTCTCTGACTTGACAGGTGTGGTGACCTCCATCTTAATTTCAACTGTATCACCAGTGGAATCTCTACCAGTGTCCAAATCTCCATTTCTCTTCATAGGAGTATCAGCAGTCACAGCCTTTACCAGCTTATCTTGCTGAAGTGTCTCCCCCTGGTTTTCAGGCTGAGTTTTATGTGTATCTATGGTTTGTGGAGTCAGTTGACTGTGCTGTGACAGTGTCTCCACCTGTTGTGTCATCCCCTCTCTCTGCTTGCTGTAGAAGTTCCAGTAACTGGAATGTGTTAGCAACCCCTTCTTTGGTTCTGACAGTGCAGATATCATGAAAGTCGGAGTGGAGATAATCCACTGACGTGAGTCATATAAAGCAAGCATTTGAGCAGTAGTGAGGCCTGCAGGGATAGGATTGATGGAGGCCGTCTGCCAGTTGGAGTACATGGATATTTTCTTATGTCCCTGTTTCACGTACATTGGTTGTGGTCGCTGTACGCAGCAGAAGCTGGTGTGTGTGTCTGCCCGCAGACTGGGGTAACTGTGACCCAGTAACACAAGAAGTAAGTTAGCAGCCTGTGGAGATGACTTCTTGGGGCTGTCTTCTCCACAGGTGCCCTCTGTTGGTGACCTTATCACTGACCTCTGACCTGATGTGGTGCCCTCTACTGGTGACATCTGACCTGTCACTGGGGTAGTAGGAGTAACTGGGGTGCCCGCGTTAGAAATCTTCACAGGTGACCTTTGACCTGTAATTGGTGACTTCTGACCTGTCACCTGTGACCTCTGACCTGCAGCGGCTCCTGGAGACAGAGAATGTAATTCTGCTGTTGCTGAATCAGGGCGCCATCGTGCACGGCCTATAGGCGGCATCATCATAGCTTGGGGTAGCAATGGGGGATGAGCCACAGGCGTCGTTAGAGGAAGTGCAGGAAACGACAACTGGTTGCCGCTATTTGTCGCAATGTTTAAAGAACTCATGTTAGGAGATGAAGAGACAGATCTCACAGAAGTGCTCTCACCGCCCTGTACTAACCGTCCAGCACGGAGGGGCATGAGCCCTGCCTGAGCCAGAGGAATCATGGGACTGGCCACCTGGGACACACTGTTCAGTCTCCGTCTCTGTGAAGACAGTGGACCTGCACTGACCAGAATGGAGTCTGTAATAGAATCATCTCTGCTGTCAGTCCCTGGGCAATGTTTACTGCGGCTATGTTCTATGACCTTAGTTAATCTTGTATTGTCACTAGTATTGCCCTTGTTACCGTCTGAAGTTACTGAATCAGAAGAAAATGACAATGGAAGGGTTTTTGAACCATGTCCCATTAAAGATGACACTGCATGTATCTTTGGTGCCTCAGGTGGCAGTGGACATGTCAAGGTACTGACAACTTTGGTTGGTGTTGGAGTATTATTGGCACTTTTATCACCTTCTTGTGATAGCATTCTTTCAACACTCATCGACCTTCGCATTAAAAGTTTTCCCTTCAACCTAAGCTTCCACAGAGCTTGCGGAGTCCCTTCTCCCGTGTTGGGTGTAACAGGAGAGCTTGTGTTACTTGCTATCCCAGCATCCCTTGCAACCTGTGCCAGTGCTATATTAAGCGGCGGAGGACGTGTCCCTTCTTTGGAATCCTGGCGCGCTATTGTAGCTGTGACACCTGTAGTGTCCACCGACTTTATAACACATCCCTGACCTTCACCTTGAACACAGGACTGCCCAATCAGATTCACACCACACCCGCCACTAGAGGGAGCCACTGATATCTGTAATGGCCCATTTATTTTATTTCCATCCTTGTCCTTTGGTTTATTCTTAGAACCTTTAGGTCTTCCCTTTTTCCTGGGTGCACTTCCATCGGCAACACCAGAATCCTCACCAGATGGCACTGCTGTGGTACTGGTGGCTGATGCTGCAGGTGCCGAGGTAGACACAGGGGGTACGATGCCCTGAGTTGGAGTAATTTCTGGAAAAAACCGTTGAATTATTGCCCTTTCTCTGGCCACCCTCTGTTCAGAGGCAAGAGTGGCATCTCTCCCTTGTTCTCCCAAACTCACAAGTCCCATGCTCCCAGGAATGCCGCCATCTTGGGGCATGCTGGCACCTGTGCAGTAGTTGCCTCGGTGCATGGCCAGGGTCTCTGGCTTACGGAATGAAGTGTTGCAGCCTGTGCAGTGATAGGGCCCAAAGCTGTCCAGAGGGGTGTGTACTCCACTGCTGGTCACGTCCTCCCCCAATGGCTGGACTGGCACTGTGGTACCACTCTGCCGTATGCTGGACGCCACCCAATGGGCCGCCGTGTTCCTGCCCTTGAGAAGAAGGTCCTTGATAACACTCCCCTGTGAGGGGTCTGGACTCATAACACCACCACCACCACCACCACCACTGGTGACTACAGAGTCGGAATTATTAGTAGAACTCACACTGACAGCGACTGAAACTGGGCGATGCTGCTCTGACACATGACCTTGAACATGGCTGGAGCATATAACTTGTGGTTTTGTCATCTGACCTTTCCTTAGTGAATCTGGAGTAACCTGAATCTGGGTCATCACTTGACTTTGACACGATTCAGCCATGAAATGACCTTGGGCTTCAGTATTCATATTTTGACCTTGACCCTGTCCTAGTGCACTCTTGGCTGTCTGTAACAGAGCAGGAGTGACCAATCCTGGCTGAGCTATCATTGAGCTTAGGAGAGATGGGGATCCTGCTGCCTGCTTGGTTAAATACACACTCGCAGAAGGAAGAACTGTTGATTGACACTCGGATAATGAAGACACCCTTCCTCCCACCTGACTAATCACTACATTGGTCCCTTCTGATTGGTTGGCTGACACCATGCATCCTCCTGATTGGTTGGTTGACACCACGCCCCCTCCTGATTGGCAGGATACCACAGATTTCCCCAGTTTAATCTGAATTTTGATCTCCTGTGGCGTTGTGGAGAGAACATCAGATGTGTGTGTCTCAGCGCCACTCCTGCCTGCAGTCTCCATAGTCTGGAGGAGGTTCTGCTGTATCTGTTGAGGATCCAGCAAACTGGGCGCTCCATGAGAATGCTTGCCTTGAGGGTCAGGTTGACCCAGTTTGTCCGGAGGTCGCCCCAAGGCCCCGCCCACCCCTAAAAAATGATGTGGTTCCAGGGTTTGGGGAGGGTTTCCAGTGGGAGGTTTAGCTAATGGGGCACTGGGTGCCGTGGTGCCGTTTGAGGAAGGTGGAATGTGAGTTGGTGTATTCAGACCTAGGGGGTGTGTCCCTGGCTGTATGTGGACCACCCTGGGGGAGCCCGCTCCAGCCATCTGACTGGAAGTAGACACTGAGAGAGGATGAGCCCCTCCCTGCAGCTGTAACACCCTGGGGGAACTAGACCCCAGGGGGGTGGACCCCCCACTTTTAGACACACTATTTTGTCGGGATATCTTTGGGCGTGGCCCTTCCACCATTGGTTGGTTAACAATCTCCTGATTGGCCGCCATAAGCTGAGTAATTCGCTCGCTGAGCATTTCTGGTGTCATGTTTTTGTGGTCCACCGGCCTTGAAGCTTTAGGGTCCTTACCGGCTGCAGGCAGGATCTCTGTGATCTGAGACTCTGACACAGCATATGTGGTGTCAAGATTGGACTCTGGTAATGAAGAACTGGAGTCTTGTCTGATTGTGTTAGAGGAGTCCTGCCTGATTGTGTTGGGTGTGCTTCTGCCACTCCCCCCACTTCCTGGTTTTTGAGCAACTTGAATTGTGACTTTCACAGTTTTATCTGGTAATGTTTCCACTGAACTTGTGAGCAATTTCTCGGCAGCTTTCTCCCCACTGTCAAGTCCTCCTGCAGCAGTGGGCTGACTTATTAAATGTTCAGAGTTCCCCATACTGTTCACAGAGTCATTCTCATATTTCAAAAAAGTTTTTTCAATTTTCTGATAATTTGTCCCACCTGCACTCTGTGGGATATACACATTATACTGCATCTCCAGACCTTCACCAGATGGCAGTGCATTTGCCAAGACAGTCTGGGGTGAAGGTTTTCCAGGGTTCACAATGTCATAGTACTGCCTCTCTGTCATGACCACCCGGGTGGACAGAGAAGGGTTGCTAGAGTTCATTAACTTGACCTCTGACCTTTGACCCGTCAAATTGTCATTTCCAGGCTTGTGACCTGACATAACTTCATTTCCCTGACTGGACCAACTCCGACCCAGCGGAATGCTCTGCTGTGTTCCTGCCGCGGCGGCAACTGCGGCCCTGTGCTGCTGAATCATCTGCTGCAGCCTCTCTTTGGCACTGGTTTCCACGGGGACACCTGACGTCAGCCCAGAAACTCTTGTCTCTGATATCGAAGTCTCGCTGGTTGTACTGGTATCCAGGCTATCATCTCCAGCAGAGTCACCTTCAGAATCACTCTCCACTTCATCACTTTCAATGTTGTCATCCTCCATGTTGTCTCCATCCTCTAATTTCATCCCGTCTCCAGACGGAGGAGCATTGCCTGCTTTGACCAGGTGTGAGCGGGACTTGCAGTGCTTGTAGAGGTTACTTTTTGTCTTGAAGGAGAAGCCACACGGCACACAAGGGTACGGTCTCTCTCCTGTGTGTGCCCGGATATGTTTCTGTAGCACGCTGGGTTTGGCACATCCACGGCCACAGTATGGACAGATATGTTTACCAGGTTTGGGAGGGTGCTTTCTCTTCCTGCCTGGACCTATCCTGGGCGTCTCTGGGAAAGGAAGAAATGAAAGTCTTACAGTGAATCAGACATGATTTTATTTGCAGGGTGGTCCATAAGAAAAGAGTGATTTTACTTTCCACCTCAATTTTGAATAGGTCATTTTTTATAGACCACCCTGTGGCTGACAATGCCAGGAATCTGAATTCTTATCTCTGTTTAAGAACCATATAATGATAAATTATGTTAAGTAAACTTCCATCTTTAGAATCTGTAAAACACTTCCACAGTGCTTCATTTAGTAGACAATGTCAGGAATATGAACTCTTTCCTACACACACAGATTCCCATCCATCACTGTGCTGCTTGTGACAAATTAAGAGCTTATTCTCGGCAGTGTAAAAGTCACATATCATCATAGACTAGTTACCTAGAGCTGGCGGGAGACCAGGGCCAGGAGACTGCCCCAGGGGGACCATGGGACGGATCCCTATGATGTCATTCCTGGGGTGTCCAGGGGGAGCCAGGGGGGTCCCTTGCTCATCTGCAGTGTGTTTGGTGTAGATCAGCTTCAGCCCCTGCTGTTCCAGGGTCTCTGACTTCAGCTCGTATTTCTCTACGCCTCTTTCTCCTGTCTGTATTTTTACAACCTAGAAAAATGTAATATTGAAAATATGGTTTTAAGTGTGTCTAAAACTGTAGTGTAAGACCTGCAACCCATGACTGCTCTTTTAAGACAAATATGCTTCAAAACATGAACTGTATCAGCAATGACAATATTGACAAAACAGCCAACATACATACATATATGCTTTTAAAATAGAAGTTCTTATAATAATTCACAATCCTGACAAGCTCATCATATATTTGTACTACACATGATACGAAATAATGACCAAAGATCTAAGTGGGTCAGTACAAAAAAATCCTTAAATCCAGGAATCCTTTGACTTAGAGTATCCCAAATCTAGGATCCTTAAAGTACCCTGGACATTTAGTCTCAGGGTCGTTCTACTGGACAAGGGTCACTCTTACCTGCTGGACGCTGGTGGACACTGGAGGGGGCATGGTGGCCGGAATGCTGGAGTTGGTGGATGCTGCGTCCACAATCAACTTGGCCTGAATGGCGCTGACCACTGGTCTCTGGTTCATCAGAGGGTTGGCCGCTTGACCTGTGAGCCCTTTGGCAATAGTACCACTCACTTGTTGCAGCTGAGGGGGCTGCTGGCTGACAGATTGTGTTAGTTGAGCTGGTTGTGCTGGCTGTGATCCTAATGCTGATTGTGTTTGCTGAGCCCCACCTTGAGCAGGAGATTGTGTTGCTGGTTGAGACTGTGGTGAGGAGTCAGTCTGAATGTCCTGGCTTTGTTTCACTTTCTGTAGCTCAGATCCCGTCACCTCCAGCAGGGCTTCCAGTGACAGGTTCCTCTTTTCCAGACTGCCTGGGGAGGGGGCCTTCCCTCTTCTGCTTGGTCGAACCCGCTTTCCATCACTCTTAGGGGGTCTCCCTTTCTTTGGCAGGGTGGGAACAACTGCAAATGTTTTAAGAACTACTTTCACAAAACATTAAAGAAGTATTGCCACTTACTCTCACAAAGACAATGAAATAATAGTTCCAATCATTTCAAGCAATTTTTACTACAATAAAAACCAACTTAAACTTACAGGAATACTAAAACTGTGACAGCTCTTGTGGAAGAGTCACCTGGTAAACACCTACCTTTCACTGCCTGACACCCATCTTCCGCCAGGTATACGACAGAGGTTGCCTTGGTGACAGGACTTTCTTGGGCGGCTTCTATTACATCCACATCGCCTGGTGTGACAGCCTTTTCTGTTTCTTTCTTCACAGCTCTTCTTCTCCTGGTGCCCATACCTACAAGACATTTCAGTCTTAAATACAATGTTTCCACATCATCTGTCTTTGTCATGTTTTTTCAAATTTCAATTTCACTTCTATTTCTTTAAAAGTCTATCAGAACAAAGAAATAAATAAATCATTAAATTAATTAATTAATATTTAAAAAAAAATAAAATAAACTGCTTGTTAACTGAAAATCTCAATCTTAAAATGCAATGATTTCTAAATGGTTGTCTTTTTCATCTCAGAAAACTACTCTTTCAATCTACCGAACCCCAAAGTTTATGTACCACAAGGTTTGTTTTTTTTTTTTATATTCAACATCAATTTCAGTAGCATCATTAAATTATTGTTACAGTAAGATAAAACTAAATCAACTGGGACACAAAGCAAAATGGCACAAAATGTTGCCCACATTTATCTGTTTTATTTATCAATTTATTTTATTAAATAATAAATTGGCTTTTACCTGAAGTGACCTCTGTCTTGCTGACCTTTGACCCTGGGCCCTCCAGGTCAACCTGACCTTGAACATCTGAGTCAGACTCTGAAATGTAATAAAAAAACACTGTTTTTTTGTCTTTTCTTACTCACAGAATTACAGCCAGGGTCTTTTTAATATCTTGCTGGCAACAGTATAACTTCATGAACAGCATATATGTCATTTCCATGTTGTATTTTTAACATGTAGTATGGAGAATCAGTGAGAGATGCTATCAAAAGATAATGAATACTTCATAACCAGCTGAAAAATTAAAAGCAGGCCTTTATTGCTTCAAAAATGGATCTTAGTTCGAGAATGAATATCATTAAATAAGATCCTGGTGTCAATGTTTTCATTCTATTCCTTCTGAAATGTACAAGAACACACTTCAATCTTTTGGTGAACTGTTATGCATTTAAAACTCAATAATTTAATCAGAACTGGTGTAAAACATCAAATTCGATTGCAGGGGCAGGTTGAGCAACTGACTTAGGAGTAGACAATTTTTTTTTCTTATTTTCATCCTAACTTATGACAAGAATAACAGAGCTGTTATAGTGGACAAATACTAGTACACCTATTAAATAGTGACTGGGGGCATAAATCACATCTTGACATGAGGTTGTCTGTATTGTCTCTACTCTTTCATGCTGTCAAGGGTTTGCTGAGGATATCAATGACAGCTGTCTCTTGGGATAACTACCTCTGCATAAATTATTAGAACTTATCATTCACATACAGTATATCCATCTGTCACTGTGGAAGTGTGGACTGCATTATAAGCCCTTAGTTCACAAGGCTTAAAGATATTGTCAGGTGCCAATGGGGTAGTCTTCTGCAATCATATATATTGATGATAATATGTGTATTCTATTCTAGTGACATTGGCACCTCCCTCACTACATATGCACTGCACAAATAGACCCGTGACTCACAGGGCAGCTGTAATTATAATCACAGGTGTGGGCACTAAGTAACACATTAAACCCTTTGCTGTGTATCCAACCTCTGATCTTAAGGGTAACAGCATATCACAATCAACAATAAACTCCCTTGCTGTGTATCCAACCTCTGACCTTCAGGGTAACAGTTATCACAATTAACAATAAACTCCCTTGCTGTGTATCAAACACACCCTCTGACCTTCAGGGTGACAGTTTATCTCAATCACAATCATAACACGAGGCTCAGAGAGGCGTAACTGCCCGCAGGTTATGCACCACCTACTATAGCTTAGGCACAGAAATATAGCTACAGGTTATATCGAGTTTTCAATTTTAGCAAGATATCTGACGTAACTGTGAAAATGTACCTTCTGACCCCGAATTGAAGAATACAAGGGAAACCTTAGATATGACTGTATACCATTTCATTAATGCATGCTTCTCTTAAAGTTTATGAAATGCAGTCAAAATAAAATCATTTTTAGCAAATATTAATGCAAAAACCATACTTGACCTTGAAATCTGGATCAAAGGTCAAACCAAAAGGTCAGATTTGAATAAGACTTCTTTTTCCACTTCTGTATTAACTTTACTGACTTTTAATTCAGTTAATTTTGAAAGTCTCTTACAAACATGCACTGCTTTGATCATCACATACAAATGCAAAGATCATCCCCAAAATCTGATCGGATTCAGTTGAGATAATATGGGGCCCCCTGAAGTGAATGATAGGCCCCTGTGGTGTATAATGAATAACACTGAGAAGGCTTTGTATCAGGCAGATGAGGCAGGACAAGGCAGGGCAAGTGCCAGGTAAAATCCAAGGTGCTTCCAGCATTCCCCCCCCCCCCCCCCCAGTGGTACAGCTATCTCCATTGCTAGTCTAGCCCCCTCAGAATGACTGAAAATTGTAATCATAAGCCATTTTTAATATTTAGCACAATTCATTCCTGTACCATTGATTTTCCCTGCATACAGCGTGCAAACCAGAAGGAGCTCTTCCCGTTAGTCTGCTAGAAAATCAATTCACAATACCCTGGATGTGTTGATTTGAGGAAAATAATGCTTCCACACATGTATGCATTGGTCATTGGATAAATAACTGTTCAGGTAAAGTTTTGAACAGACAGTCAGCTAAGACACTCTTCAGGGGTAAATCCAGACAGATTTTTGACACTTTTCCAAAATATCCTCCATTATGTACCATCCTCCATTTTTGACACTCAGTCTTCCCACAGAGAAAATTAGATGTCCATCAATGTAAACTCAAAAAATTTTAATCATGGGATTGTAATCATGATGGTGCCTGCACAGCACGCATCAACCCTGATCAAAGAAAGCCCCATCTCCGTCTTGTGCCTTTTTAATATTTTTCTAATAATTTCTACCACATGAGTTGGGACAGGTGAGATAACTCTACTACCATCAGACATGAGACGAGTTAAAAAAAAAAAAAAAAACTCTGAACATTTCTCCCCCCTCCCATCAGAAATGAATTAAAAAATGTGGAATTCCACATTTCCACAGAAAAGCTCACCTTTGCTACCACAGCAATAAGCTCCACTGTTATGTCACTGTAGTGTCAAACAACCATATTTGCTGTGTAGAGATGTATTCACAATGAAGCTATCAGACTAGATAGATCAATCCAACTCTGTGGGGACTCTCACTGAATGCAATCAGAATGACACACCTCCTTAAGCAGCTAGGGGGATTAACTTTAGGCTGTATTCCCAGAGCTTTTAGATCGATCTATCCCCGCGGGGAGTCTCACTAGATTACTGTCAGTTTTTAACTTTAGTTAATTAACTTTAGTTAATTACCCCCTTACAGCTTGTAGTAGGCGGGACCAACATTTAAGCCGGATTATCTGACAGTAATCTAGTGAGACTCCCCGCGGGGATAGATCGATCTAAAATCTATGGGAATAGAGCCATACACCCCATTCTCATAGATCGACCTACATTGGATCGACCTAACTCCCTGGGGGTTCACGCTAAATAGCTGTCAGCCGGGCGGACACGAAAGTTAATTACCCCTTAAAGCTTGTAGTAGGCGGGGACGGACACTTAAGGGGGATTATCTGACAGTAATCTAGTGAGACTCCCCGCGGTGATAGATCGATCTAAAAGTTGTGAGAACAGAGCCATAGTTTCACTGCCTGTAACATGGTCAAATGGTTGATGGATGTCTCGGGTGATTTAACAAGTCATAAAATGTTTACTAGTAAGCTGTTAACAAGTCATTTAGTCAAACTGTAGACAGATGTTCTAGATAGCATATATTTTAACAAGTAGATACAAATGGGCTTACTACAGTGTACAAATCACACAATGATGTAGAACTTTATGTTTCCTGAAATCAACTGCAAAATGAATGATCTCCACATTTATTTCTCTGGATGGAATCTTCCATGACAGCTTGTGTAAACCAGCCCAGGGTACACCTGACTTAACTCTAATGAACATATGATACAACATCTTCTCTTTACATACTAATAAACTAGATGAAACACAATCACTAATTTAAGTACATCAACGGGAGTTCTACAGCAAGAGATACTGAAAACAATTGGGATAAATGCAAGAAGAGACCTATAACACAATGAAGCTGAGGCTGATTTTAACTTTAATTAGGAAGGGAACCTATGACAGAAATTATTCAATCCTTTTAAAGCTCAAAGCATCCTGCAGAACTTGATAACAGTTTATTTTTAGATCCACTTTATATGATTTTAACTTGGACACCTAAACAATTTTACCAAATTTTGAAATAATTTAATTAACAATAGGATGTTTCTAAAAAGTAAGTTTGCTATGAAATCAGGATTATGATATGCTAAAAAAAATTTATTCTTCTAAAACTAGGAGTACTAGTACTAGCAAGTGCTTTAATATTAATGGCAGCATGGAGATGAATGGTCCCAAATCAATAGTGAAATTCTACCTCTGATTCACTCTCATAACTTTCTATCTCTTCTTTGACCTGTACTATACTTTTATACCCAGTCAGTCTGCCTGTGAGATAATCAATTACACCACACAGAGTGTGCAGTCTGGGAGATGTTAGATGTTCCATCTCCAATATTGAAGGCTAAAGTCAGCTTTATGTAGGTTAATGCTGAAATTGCACCTGGTGTTTTATTTTCTGCTTAGTCATTGGATTTCATCAAAAAAGAATCCCCATCCTAGGCAAAATGGCCGATTCAGCCTCCCCCTTTCTAAAATAGTTTTTTTTTAATCACTGAGATACAATGAAATATGTTCCATGTAATCAGTGCTACAAAAAGTTTTTTTTTAATTAAAATATTTCAATAGCTCAAAGAAATATTTGCAAGGGAAAGAAGAGCAGTCCAGGATCCTTGACAGTAAAACATGCCCAAAAAGTAAAACCGCTTCTCTTCAGGATAAACTGGGAGTTTTTGTGTCACTGATCTTATTCTAAATATAGCTGCTGACTCCATTGTTAGTGGTGGTGAAGAATGACAACCTTTGGATTAGAAAAACCACAGCTACACTGAAGATCGAGGAGTCCATTAGAAGGAGTAGATTCCTACCTCTATACTTGAACTGTGATTCCCCTCTGTAGCAAATTCTAGTTTTTAAAATAAATTGATGAACTAAATCATACTAATGATGTTGACAAAACTACTCACAATAATAAAACTGTCACAAATGGTTTGACAAATCTTGTCAAAAGTGTTAATCATTTGAGATTGTTTACTAGTAAATTGTAAATAATATGAAAATGGCTCAGATGGACAACACACAGTGTGAGACATATATGAGGTATTTCCCTAAATAAACATCCTGCAACAGAATTAAGTGATAATATTGTCCTAGAGCTCCGTATTTAAAGCGAGAACTAAAGTAAACACGCAGACTTTGACCCCCGTCTGTGTTATGAAATGCGCACATTAGAAGGTCAAAACATTCCTCACGCCAAACAACAATGTCACTGGTGATCAAACCATGTTATACTGGAACAAATGTCCATGTTAATAAAACTGTCATTAGCGAATGATGACATCGTCACACAATCGCACTAAATATCGACGTGATTAGAACAGGAAAACATTTGAACAACCCATCACCCCTATCCAGATCGGCATAATGGACTCTTCCATGGGCTCGCCATATTTGTCATCAAAATCTCGAGATTCCCCCAAACATACGTCCTATTTTCTCTCTATTTCTGAGGTGTAATAATACGACATGAAGTCGGAATTATCACCTTTGAACTAATCTTCTTAAAATAATAAATTAGCCCAGGTTAAGAATATGGAAGAGGAAGTAGGGGCGCGTGAGGGAATCCTTGCGCGAAAAACCCTGCATACAAATGAGGATCCCCTCACGGAGGAGAATCCCAAAAGGCCAACCCACCCAAACCGACTGGAATGTCGGCCAATGCGCTTCCAAAGAACAACATCTATCTTAACAGAAATATCCTCGCATATCTACAGATGACAGGGATACTGACAATAAAAATGTCGAATGACGAAGACATATTTTATGCGAATATTCACTTACTTTTGCTGGACTGGGGAAACACGGCTTTTCGACGTGGCATCGCGCTCAAGGGGTGTTGTTTTGCCTCGAAAAGTCGACAAAAATCGCTGTATCTGTATCTGATAACAATGTTTATAACACAAAGGATATCCTATCTTCACATTGGTACACCTTTTGTGGGGAAACGCCGGTGTTTTGGTCGAGTAATCCTGGGGAATTCTTCTGTACCGTTCAGGGGAATTTCTTCTTCGACAAAGCAATCCTCCATGACGTCATGGACTACCGCGTAATTCGCCCCCATATCGAGGCCATGACGGAGATCCCAGCCGCAGCGCAGACTTATGGCGGGGGAAAAATAAATACGCTTGTATAAAACATACCTAAAACCTGGCAAGATTACGTGTAACATAAAACTATCTCCTTCAGTATATAATTAAATCATCTCTGCAGCGTCATGGGCTTGATGATTGGTAAAACTGTGTTTAACTTATGACAAATCTATTTTTTCTTCGCGGACCAATATCAGGATTTCCCAGTGCAATTTACATGGAGGTGATCCCATTCACGTGACCGCCAGGGTTTCTCAAACAGTTGCATTAGGTGTCTGGGGTTGCAAATTAAAGATGTCGACAGTAATTGTAGCCTTAATTCATTTAATGCTGTTTTTAGTTCAGTTGTACGCGTTAGTGTACGACGTCATGTACATCAAAGTGTCCTCACTGCCAAAATTAGCGTTTCTTACCCACTGGGGGATGGTAAGTATATATACTGTACAGTATATGCATGGTCCAACACTGCTTGCATGAGAATTGTTGATACAACTGTATAAAAATTAAATACAACATATGCTCTCTCTTGAAAATGTGCTGCTGCAACTTTTGTTTCGTTTATTAATACAGAAACATTCACACTATTCGCTCTCCCGTTATATATTTCATTTTTATAATATTTTATACTGTGCACATGTAAATTCATATATGTCACAAAAATGCATGTATAAATTACTCTGCAACAAAACATACATACAGCATGCACTGAGTTTTATTTCATTTCTTCTTGCATGCATGCCTTATCCAATATGAATATATTTTTCCTTTCTACTTTTATGCATTATTTATTTTAATTCAATTTCATATATTTGCACTAGATTAAGTCTATTTTATTTAATAGAAATTCATGAATTCATGCTAATAATATTGCTGATTTAATTAATTTATTTTTACATACTCGGTATTTAATACTTGTTTTTTAGTATAAATTTACTATAGCCCCCTACAGCTATACATATGGCTTAATTTGTGTGTTCTAATTAAGGAAAGCAGACAATAAAGCACTCTTTGATAATAAATACAAAAGTGGAATGAACCCCCCCCCCCAAGCTCTGTCCCATCCGATCCAATCCAATCTGAGTTAGCCAGCCAATCAGTTGTATGGAGACATAAGCACCTATGGTTCTGTGCATAAAGCTAGTTAACAGCTACATGCATGTACACTGTGTAGGCGGCTAGTATATATAGGCCAAGGCTGATTGGATATATTGGCCATGAAAAGGAAAGAGGAGATTAGTATAGCTTTCTGTGGACAATACAACAGCTAGTATATGTACACACACAAAGCCAGCTAGTATATGTGTACACACAAAGCCAGCTAGTATATGTGTACACACAAAGCCAGCTAGTATATGTGTACACATACAATGTCAGCAGGTGTGGGCTGAGCCATTGATAAGAGTGTACAACACACATGATTATATAGGTGCTGATAGTGGACTTTGGTCAGTAAGGAGGCAAGCTAGCTGGTGACAATCAGAGGGAGACTAAGAGACAGACTGAGTGTGTACTGATGCACTGAGGGCTAAAGGGCATGTGAAATGATGCATATATGATATCCACACAGTTACTAGTATATGTACATCATAATTGACTAGGCAGCACTATAATCAATATAACATAGTATTGCAGTTGATAAAATAGCAAGAATCAATTGCAGGCAGCCTGACTTCAAATATCACACAAGGATTGTAGGAGGAGCTGAAGAAGATGTCAGCTACATTGTTTTTAGTTCATTTAACCCTGTTCTTGATTCAGCTCTATGGAACTATCTATGACTTCTTGTACGTGTATTTTGGCAGCTGGGAAGACTACAATCCCTGGCACAAGCTGCGCTATCTGACAGTCTGGGGCCTGGTGAGTACTAGTAATACAGGGACTGAACACCTTGACTCACAGGGTGCAGGGTGAACACCTTGACCCACAGGGTGCAGGGTGAACACCTTGACCCACAGGGTGCAGGGTGAACACCTTGACCCACAGGGTGCAGGGTGAACACCTTGACCCACAGGGTGTAGGACACCTTGATCCACAGGGTGTGGGGGNAGGGAGGAGTCTTTAATGTTCTCCCACGTGGCTTTGTGTTTTGGGGTGTATTGACTGTCTCCAGGACCCAGAGAGGTATTTTATATGCAGGATAATTAAGGTTTATTGATCTAGGTCAGTTACTTCCTAATACAAACAAGTGGCACCACTTGCTCACTACCTCCACAGGTATAAATAATACAGATGAGGTGGTGATATGTATATATTGTGGTTGGACAGTAATATATGTAGACATGCAGGCAGGGCAGTCAAGTGTTACAATACAGTGACTTGAGGTGGACCATAGCTGGTCCAGGAAGCTTAGATATATGTATATACAGTATATATCTCAGGAGCAGTGAGACAGGGACATTTGGAATTTCTGAGATTTTGGAGGAACTTTGATTGTTGCATTCCATGATAACTGATAATAAGAGAGAGGATGATCTGAGAATTACAGTATCAACTACGAGTACATATACATGAAGACAGTGTTGACTAGAACTGTAATATAGGCGGGGTTTCTGTACGACACACATCAACTGGAGAAATTTGTCAACTTTGTTGCATGGACTTGTTAAAAGTCACCTGTTGTGCACTGCTGTGGAATTTACTGATATTGTTGACTGTTACTTTGGCAGACTTGAAGAGTGTTAAAGCTGTACAACCTTTGGGAAAATAAGGCAGTTTGATATTACATAATTTCATGCTTGATGTGACAGGCACTTAAAACCATTGATGAGGTTTGGTCAGGATACCACATATTTTCATGCGGGAAGATTTTAGCAGTTGAAAAGTAGTGAAAAAGAGTCCACAGACAGTGAGAAACTATTAGATTGTTTTACAGCTTGGAAGTAGACTGTATAAGGAAAGTGATTTGAATGAAAAAGAAATCTGCTGACATCACATGGTGTCTCTCCATTACTGCACGAAAAGATCGAGTCACAGAAATTGCACGTATACATCAAATACTTAAAAGGAGAAGTCATCATCCCACTAGTGCGTGTCTGTATCCTGTTGTTGACTTCATGAAGATTGTGTAAAAATAACTCAGAAGCATCAACTTATTCAGCACAGTGAAAAGTGACTGGAATTTAGGCAAATTACTGATCGTAAAAGAGATAAAGGAAGACATATTGTTGCCAGCACATCTACTATACTGGTATTGTTATATATGTGTTGTATATGGTGAAATGGCATCCAAGGCTGTTCCACTTGCAGTACATCTAACAGTGCTGGTGATTCAAGCGTACTCTGTCTATTACGACTACTTTATATGCAGGCCGCGTAATAATTACAGCTGGAATAGCTACGGAGGGCCGTGGAAGTATCTGACATGGTGGACTGAGGTATATATGAATATAAGGGTGTTTTTGTTTATTTTTATGCCCATCATATAATGCATGTGGTGGACAGAGCATGATAGGGACTATTTCGAGATCCTATCGTGCTAACTGTGGATCCATCTATCTCAGAGGGGATTCTTGGTAAATTGCAATTAACTTAAGTGGCTTAGATGTGTGTCACACCTACTGAAGCTGTAAGCAGCTTAAGCTGAAAGCAATTTAGCGATAAACCCCTAGGAGATGGACAGATCCTGTTAGAGCGATCTAGGTATGGGAGCCCAGTCATAGACTCCATCTGTTTATTTTTATTTATTTTTTTATGTCAGTGATATTTTGTATGCACCTAATGTCAGCTTGCATTATTGCCCATCTACTTTTCTTTTCCCCAGAAATATCCCAGGTGTTAACTTATTTCTCAGATTGTTTTTAGCCTATTATTGTATGCAGCCAGTTCTTATCAATAACAAATTGTATCCACAGGTATTTTCTCCTTCACTTGTACCTGTTATAATTACTTCAACCCCCAGATAAAAGGATAGTCATAAAAAGGCTGGCAGCCTGATAGAACTTCAGTATTATAGCGCATGACTACTAGTACATCCTTGCTCAGTAAAAGTGAAAGTGAAACTGGTGAGCCAGATGAGCCATAACAAGAAATAAAGAGAACTTTCAGTGTTATTCAGCCTGATCACCTCCTGTATTGGAGGGGGAAGGGTAATTATAATCTATAACCTCTTATTTCTTAAACCCCCTTGTGATGAAGATTATTCTATAGCTTTATATTAGAAAATATGAAAAAAATATTCCATAAAACTGTTGCCTAAATTATAATTATTTTCTGAGATAGCACTTAGCAGAAAAAGTTGAATAATAATAATAATAATAATAATAATAATAATTAAAATAATAATAATATATTACAGCACTGCTGGTGGAATTTGTGCAAAAATACTCTAACGGCTTGAAATAACCTGTTGAGAAAAAATAAAACGTTTGGAAATATTTAAATGAAATTCAATTAAAATTTTTAGAAGCCTCATCAAAAGTATTTCCAATAAATTTTATACCCTTATGTTGGAATGCCTAGATATAACACCCAATTTTGTGAATAATTCCTTTTTTTAGACAATCTTTTTTTTTTTCTGAAGATGAACATAGTAATGTGTAGCACAGCTATTGATTATTCTTACTCGCAATGATTATCTCAGAAACCCAAGTTTGAACACAGCCAAACAAATGTTTAGACAGTTTTCCAACACTATAACAATAAGTTTAGGGGCTGGTACAGGTTAATTGTGACTATAGGCCAAATACAAAATTGAAAATTGCTGATTTAATGAAAAATGTGTGAAGGGTATACTATTGATTGCACTCTCCTGCTTGTGTGTGTAAGGCTCTATTCCCATAGATTTTAGATCGATCTATCCCCACGGGGAGTCTCACTAGATTACTTTCAGATAATCCGACTTAAATGTCCGTCCCGCCTACTACAAGCTTTAAGGGGGTAATTAACTTTCGTGTCCGCCCGGCTGACAGCTATTTAACGTGAACCCCCAGGGAGTTAGGTCAATCTAAAGTAGGTCGATCTAATCTATGGAAATGGGGTGTAATTGTATACTGCCTTAGCGTATTAATGTTGTCCTGTGTATGATGTTGACAATAACCCCCTCTCCCGTCAACAAAGGGGATACCTATGACCCCCTCTATAAAGATTGACCTTAACCAGGGTTTAACTTCTGTCAATAGTTTCCTCCACTGTGCGTTAGTGGTTAGGACCAATCATTGCAGGGACGGCTCTCAAACAAGTTCATTATAGCTGATCGTGAGCAGCTTGCTCCAGAGGTTGGTTTAGTACCACAGCTGCAATAATTGGAGATTTTAAAGTTTTATCATCGTGGCTCAGATTGGCTGCTGAATGGCAGACACTATTATTGGCTTATCTCGCTGACTGATTTCCAGCCTCGGAAGATTGATGGTTTACCCAGAACTAACGTATTTAGTAACTTAGCGTCATATATTACATTCCAGAGCAGCAAAGCTTGCCTTAGAATAGACATATATATTCAGAGATCTGTCAGCACTTTGCTTGGAACTTAGTTAACAGTTTTATCTTGCTTAATAACCTATAGTGATTACGAATTATACCACAGAACAGCAAAGGGTGGTTAACACCAAGTATAGACACATTTGAAAGCAGGAAAGAGAGCCCTGTGGAAGAAGGAAGTAATTCTTGAAACGCTGGGCGTGTACTTATCTTTTGCTGAGCTAGGCAACACAGGTCGGCCATTGAGGTCTGAATGACAAAGATAGCCAGACTGTGTATAGGATATTTTACCAGTGATGCAGTTTGAACAAAGCCCACAGAGGCGTTATTTCCCAGTGCTTTACCACGCCCTAGTGTTTGCAGTGTGGATGTTTACGCTGTATAAAGACATCACATTTATTCAACCCGCAAAACGAAACTTTGGGGTGCACCAGACGTATGGAGGGCCCTGGAAGTTTTTGACATTCTGGAATGAGGTAGTTTCATAGAGATTCATCAGGATTCATGATTATTCATATAATTGTTTATTTATTTGTTTGTTCGTTTTTGGTTTGTTTATTATTATTTGTGCTTATATTTATAAGATCAAGACATGACATCAGGTGCACAACTTTCAATTGCATATATATTATGTAGTAACAGTTTATTCAAGCCCCCGTTATAACCATTATTGGTATTAGTCAAGGGGTTAATTTGGTCATCATTATTATTATTATGTCAGTCAATCACCCTGATGTACTGAGTATACCTGATGTTCCAGACATCGTCAAGTTCATTGTATACACAAGGAGGAGTAAAATACATCTACTGGTGGAGACTATAATGATAACCTAACTGCATGTGATCCCTGATAAGTTGACCCTGGTTGGTTGGCAGTTGGTCTTTGCCCCCCTCCTCCCCTGCCCCCCCTTAACCCCCCCCCCCCCCCCCCTCCAAGCCCTTTCCTTACAACTAGCTTGATCTGGGAAAGAAGGCTGCAAAAGCAAGACCGTACAGTGAGGATAAACACTGTCAATCTTGTCTCCTCAAACAGCGTAGAAATTGAGCGGGATCGATATCAGTCACTGCACACAGTCTAGTCAGTATTAATCTCTTGATTGAGGGACTATTGTTAGGTGTCCCAGAACTAGGTCAGCAGTTTCTAGGTCAGTGTTTGCAGTTTAAAGGTCGGAGTTCAGTTGTAGTCTGGAAACACAAGCATGGCGTCCTTAAAGTCAACAGTCTACCACGCCAGTCTGTTTATGATGTACGCCTTTTCGTTGCAATATAACATTCACTATGTGAAAGACAAGAGAGGAGATAGCTTGTTTGAATATATGGGATACGGTGGGAAGTTTAAATATCTGACATTCTGGTGTTTTGTAAGTATGTTTGTGTAACTATGTGTATGATAATACAAATAGCTAGAGTATAGTGTTTACAGGTATTGTTGTATGGTGTATATGACAATACATAAAGAACACTATTGCTACTATCTCCTATTTCACTGTCAGGCGTCCAGGGCATCACAGTGTACTTCTGATTGTTGTACTAACAATACATATAGAACACAGTGTATGCAATTGTTGTACTAGCTGTGTATATAACAATGTTTAAAATACATATAGAACACAAAAAACATATGACTGCTGGGGTAGCGCCAGCAATTTTTTTCGCTTAGCCAAATCACCATATTTCTGTCAATTTGTTACCAAAATGGTTATAATTTGGCTAAAACATGTCAAATCAAGTCCTTAACTTTAGCCAATTTAAGACAGTTTTAGCATTTGGCTAAATTGGCGAGTGTTAGCGTTACCCCAGGTCTGTTATACTGGCACTGTACATGGCAACCAAATAAAACAGTGTACGTGATTGTTGTAGTAAGTGTGACCAGTATGTTTACATAATTATCATGCAAGGCATTAATTTTAGGCTTACCAAAATACATCAAGTGTAATGTTTGTTAAGAATGCAGAGCATGTTCTCCCTGGAGACTTAAATTGGAAATTAACTACCATGATAGGGTTTTTAAAGTGTGGGTACATGTATAGCCTGGTTGTGACAGCTTTATCAATATTAAAGGGATAATAACTCTTCGTTTCGGCCAAAAAATGAATTTTCCTGGAGTAAACAACAATTTTCCCATACTTACCAATGGTTAATGAATCCATTTTTACATACAAAGTTAGTCCCTGTTTTTTTTCTAAAAAGTTTGGTTTTTTGTTAAAAGCTCTTAAGAGATTTTAACAGAGTATAGCCATCAATGGAGGTCACGTGGTCTAAGGACAAGCTCAGATATCAGAATAATAGCTATAACTGCCGTTTTTGTGGTAAAACAGGATATATTATATTTCTGTGAGTTATTCACAATGTTTTAATTGTGAAATGGAGATCTCATACGAAGAGTTATTATCCCTTTAAACTTCTCCACAGTTAAAGGTGATGGGGATTTTGAAGAGAAATTGGTCCATGTGAAATACGGCAATCCTTGCACTAGCATGTTACTGTTTATCATTGTATATTTCCAGTTGATCAACACGTTCTACTTTGGGATCGCCCTACTTAATGACCTGTGTGGCAGCAATGCAGGGCCTGAAGACGGGAAAGATAAACACTCCACCCTACAGAAGTTTAGAGATAGAATGTATAGTATACTGGCGTTTCCTATAGGCGCAGTAAGTATTACTCAACAGTTTGTCTTTTGTATAGAGGTTCTTGGTACAAATGGTTGATTAATCAATGCACATATATATAGTATGTTGAAAAAAAAACTGAAAAAAAAGATAAAGTAATAACAATAAATTATTATTTATGAAGAGATAATGAAGACAAAAATAATGCCAAAGGAAAAATGTTTATTTGGAATAAATTAATCAACCAATTTTAATATTTCTTCAGAGATTTTTAATATTTCTCCAGAGATATTTAATATTTCTCCAGAGATATGAGTTAATATTTGTAGAGTCAGAGCAACTTTAGTGTTTGAGTAACTGTTAGCTCTGCATGTATCATTACAACTTGTACCACTCTACTGCTATAAGGGTGCATTCCCAAGAAAACTATTGTTCTATGTAGATCCATCCAACTGGCTGGGATTCTCAATGAATGCAATCAGGTGAACAGATTGACACACCTCTAGGCATTGAATAGAATACAGAAAAGCTGATGATTATATAAGTACATTGGAAATAAGTGGAAGCATGTTCATCTGATTGCATTCAGCCAGAGTCCCTGTGGAGTTGGATTGATCTATGTAACATGATATTTTCATAAAGAGCGGGTCCTATGTTATTAGTACCACCAGCGTGTACGCTGGCGGTACTCATGGTTTTAGTCCCGACCCGTCTCGTCCGGCTCCGCCGGCTCCGTTGGCTCCGCCGGCTCCGTAAGCTCCGCCGGCTCCGCGTACTGGCGCCGGATACAAGTCACCGTTACCGCTTCTCCTCCTAGACCGCAAGGACCCCTGTCCCNTATTTTACTTAACTAGAATATTAGATATTTGAACATAATGTTCCACCTCAGTCAATATTAATATTTCTCAGTTAATATTTTGCCTTTTTTCCGTCAGTTTGTTGTAGCCTCCTTCTGGTCTCTATACGCGGTGGACAGGGAGCTGGTGTATCCCGCAGAGCTGGACAAAATCATTCCATCCTGGTTAAACCATGTCATGGTGGGTAAAATCATTTAATTCTCCTTCCTATCCCTTCCTTCCAGTGTGTTGTACTTCTGTTCTGGGGGCTGACATTTTGGGACGAGCGTTTGGTTACGCCTGATGAAATGAAGGGTTTGTATCCTCCTTGGTTGAACCATGTTATGGTAAGGACAGTGACATTCTGCTTATGGTGGGAGCTATATGCGTAACAGATTTAAGAAACTCTAAATTATCTCCCACCCCCACCCACATTCCCAAGGAAAAAACTACCTAGACCCCATTCCCAGAGATTAGAACGATCCACCTAGATCGACCTAACTCCCTGGGGGTTCACGCTAAACAGCTGTCAGCCGAGCGGGCACGAAAGTTAATTACCACCTTACATCTTGTAGTTGGCGGGACGGGTGGGGGGAGTGAGAGAAGTGAAATCTTTCTCCTCATACTACTGTTTATCCACATGAAATATGAAGTGTACTAGTACCTTCCTGTAATAACATGGATATGAGTATTCCACACATCCCTCTTATCACTTGTGTGTCTTTCAGACTGACACTTGTGAGTCCTTGAGACTCCTGAGACTGACACTTGTGAGTCCTTGAGGCTGACACTTGTGAGTCCCTGAGACTGACACTTGTGAGTCCTTGAGGCTGACACTTGTGAGTCCCTGAGACTGACACTTGTGAGTCCTTGAGGCTGACACTTGTGAGTCCTTGAGACTGACACTTGTGAGTCCTTGAGACTGATACTTGTGAGTCTTTGAGAAGGACAGAGACAGCTGCATTGACTTCACATTGAGCACTCTCTCACTGAACATTTGTTATGTATACTGTTCATTTGTTATTGAGTCATGTTAACAGAATGGTTATACATGTACTTTTACTATAGAAATGCCTTTTTTACAGTGCTTTGGTTAAAAGTTGTTTTTCTTTCAGATACATAGTTCTGGATTCATTAAAATTTTATTTCTGTAAAGTATTTCTGATGCTTTCACTTCATTAGAATAGAACTAAAAGGAAGCCTGCTTGTCAGTTTTCTTGCTTGCCACTCAATGCAAATGTTTTAATTTTAAGAATTTGCAAATAAGAAAAATACAGTATCTGCTAATTAATTTTCCCCATTGAAAGGATAGAGGTATTTTACAGGAATTGTGTCTATTTATCTTCAGCATACCACTGTACTACCATTCCTGCTGATAGAGGCATATGTGGTCTACCATGAATATCCCAGCAAGAAAGTAGGGATTCCTGGAATCGTGTTTTTCTCTTCGTTGTACCAGTTTTGGTAAGATTTCTGTACTCTTTTTAAAACTATTTGGTTGGAAATGTCACATTTTAAATAGTGTTGCATGTGTTTAATATGTGGCTCTGTATAGTATTAAATATGAGATGACTGTCAATATAGTAGAATACAGAAAAAGGTGGTGATTACATGAGAACATTGGAAACAAGAGGAGGTGTGTTAATCTATTAACCTGATTGCATTCAGCGATAGTCCCTGTGAAGTTGGATCGATCTGCGTAGACTGACAGTTTAATTGGGAATGTGCCCCTTGACTACTTAACAGTTAAGTCACTCTCATTGTTCCAGGATATTGTGGATTGCATTCAAGGCGGATATCTGGGTGTACCCCATCCTCAGGGTGCTCAGCTGGCCCATGAGGATCGTCTTCATGGTGCTGTGCTGGGTGCTGGTGATGATCCTCTACTTGTGTGGTCATGAAGTCACACAGATGTGCTGGGGTGAGTGTGTTAGGTGTGACAGTGACATTGTGCTGGGTGAGTGTGTTAGGTGTGACAGTGACATTGTGCTGGGTGAGTGTGTTAGGTGTGACAGTGACATTGTGCTGGGTGAGTGTGTTAGGTGTGACAGTGACATTGTGCTGGGTGAGTGTGTTAGGTGTGACAGTGACATTGTGCTGGGGTGAGTGTGTTAGGTGTGACAGTGACATTGTGCTGGGTGAGTGTGCTAGGTGTAACAGTGGCATTGTGACATGCAAGATGGTGGTGGTTTGAGAATTTGGGGGAAAAGAGCTGAGAATGTGTAATAGAAAGAGAGAGAGAGATAATGGATGAGGTAAAGTGAGATAGAATAATTGAGATAGAGAGAGAGAGTAGGAAAGACATGTAGTTAGTATTTGAATTGTTATCAGATGTTTCAGAGTCGTAAATGTTAACTGGAATTCAAATGATATCACCATTGAACCATTTACAGCAGAATTTCTTATAAAAAATTCCTTCAATATCATACATAAACAACTTCCAACATTCTGCAACTTTTTATATAAAGCTAGACTTATACGGATGTGTTAACAAAGTTTGTTGGAAAAATCTTGTCAGTACGCCACCACTGAGGTTCTAAGCTCCATAGTGTGTCAGATGTAACTTTGCTATGTTGTGATAATATCACTGATAGAAAACAATGTTTTTCTTTCAGGACCAACGCAAGGGAAGACTCTACAGGCAAAGAAGGTTAAATAATGAAACATTAATTATGGACCAAAATTCTAAAATATGAACGAGAAATGTGATAAAGGATAAGAAAAATTCTGAAAAGATTCAAGATAAGACTTTATGAAGGAAATAAGAAGTAATGAGGCTGGACGATAGAAATGAAAGTTGAAAGTCTTTGAGAAGGGTTCTCCCTTCAGCAATGCAAGAGGGTACGCCGGACCCTCGTTCAGCAGTGTAAACATGAATATTTTATGTGGTTATCTCTTGGGGTGCTTAGTGGCTCCCTCTATGCAATGTGATCCATGATTTATTTACTAGATGTTATCCTTTGTTTGATATTAGTTTTTGAGAGAGGAAATATACAAATTGCTCTTTGTGATGTTCTGTCATATGAACTCAGCAAATTAGCTGTGGTTAATGTAATGTTTTTATATTTTTTGTAAAACTTCACAGTTAGTACCTATACCAACTGGCAAATAATTTACAAGTACTACATATATGTTATTGTGAGGCTAATAAACACTCCAAGTTTGATAGTTCAATAAAAAGTCTACTCTTTAGCCTATGGTGTTGCTGTTTCTGAAGATTAACCAGTGACATACATCTGAGCTATGTATTTCAAGGATAACAACATTTAATTTTTGTCAAAAAATGGATTTTCCTGGGGTAAATGACAATTTTCTACTACTTTTCATAGTTTATGAATCTGTTCCAACATAGAGAGTAAGTCCATTGTCTTTTTCTAAAAAAAGAGATTAAGAGATTATTACATAGGATAGCCATATATGAAGGTCTTGTAGTCCGATGACAAACACATATTCCAGAATAATTGTGATTACTGTAGTTTTAGTGTTAAAATAGAATTCATTATATTTCTATGAATTGTTTACAGTGTATTTTTTGTGAAATATGGATCTCATACAAAGAGTTATATATATCCCTTGAAGCCCCTGTCAGAGTGTTTTTAATCGCAGGGTGAGTCATCTGCTGCCAGGACAAGGAAGAGGATGTTCATGATGGCTGACAGTGTTCTGGTGTTAGCGACAGAGAACTAAGAGTAACTATGTATGAGAATTGTTCATAGTGCAAGTGTCATCATTAAATCAATAATAACTTGAATAATGTCAAAAATGAATTGAAAAGATTAAATTGGAATACTTGAAATGGATATGATGTTAGTTTTATTTTTATGTGTGACATACTCCAGAACTTGCATCTTAAACACTATTGGCAGATGTTAGAGATGTCATGCTATTTGAACATGAAAATATCATCTATTTGCTAATGTATTTTTTGCAATAATTTAAATATTCCAAAATAGGTATAATTTAATTTACTCAGAAATCTTTAAAAGTTAGCTGCCATAGTGAAACATTTTTTTATCATAAATTACAGCTTATTTCTCAGTCTATACATCTCAATTAATTATGAATTCCATTTTGGTAATATATTTGAAATACACAAGGTGTTTTGTGCCTCAGAATGATTATTTTAACCCTATTTAACCCTAATTTATGACAACAGCCCTGACACATACTAACCACCAGTTGTATGACAAGAAAGGGGAAATTGAAGATTTAGAACCTAAGCTATCAAAAAAAAAAAAAAATAATAATAATAAATAAATAAATAATAATAATAAAATTAAAAAATAATAAAAGTGATTGATTATGAAGAGGGTCTACAATGCCAGGGTCTTAATGTAATCTCAATGGGCCCTTGCGACCAAACTTTACAATTTTTTAAATTGTTAAAACTATGCGTATGCCTAGTTTTTTGAGTTTATAAACGCTATTTCTTTATTATGTGGAAGATTTAACACTTTTTCAAGTAATATATGACTTATAATAGGATATAGGCTTTTGAATTAAAAAACAGTTGATCAAGTAGTCCAGTACGAGCAAATAATTTGTTAATGAAAAATTACATCTGCAGGACAAAAGTGTAGATTGCTTAAATCGCATAAAAATAACAAATATAAAGATAATAAAAATGAAGGGAAAGAGAAATTATAATGCTGATGCACAGTCGATGGTATTTGGGGCTGCATTTTCTTCAAACTTTCAGACACTGTCACAACCGGCGTAAAGGACTAATGTATAGGCCTAAGAAAAATTGCCCATACGTAAACAAACCCAAGGAGTTCATTAGACTTAATTTAGTCCTATACGCAGACAAGCGTTGGTGTACGTAATCCCCGTACCCGGAGAGAGAAAATATTTGAGCGTGTGCAATAACAATATAGCACGCTGCTTATACATGTTATATCTTCGTTTTAATACCCCGAAAATAGTGATTACATTCACTCAGTGTGGTGTGTATAATGGATGTCAGAGACGATACTCATATATATATATATAGCACCCCTTTCCGCTAGGTGTGACAGAATCTTCAACAGTCGAAGTCGTGTCATGCGTCCCAGTAATTTTGCGCTCACTCATTGGCCACAGGGTGCGCTAGTAGTCTGCTACACAATTATTGTATTGTTGATACTTTTATTTCGTATACTAGTAAAAATTTTAAAAGCCCCTGATATCGGAGGATACGTGACTCCCGCGCATCCATACCCTGTCCTGATACTAATTTGTTTTCATTAATATTTTTTTAAAATTTTGTTGTAAATCTATTTGAATTTCGAGATGAAAAATATTTTCATGTACTAGTACTTGACACCGCTGCGTGCTATACATTTTTTTTCAATGGGAACCAACGTGGAAGGCATTGTCTAGTGTTACGGCCCTGTCTAGTGTTACGGCCCTGCACCGATACTCACATCCTTACCGATACACCGATATTTTATTCAAATCATTTTCGTTTCAGTTTGCACTATTGACAAAGTTATGGCCACGATTTTTAATATGTCAGATTCCTTTTGTTCTCATATCATTTTCTTCCTTATCTACGTATTGTCTTAATCCATTTGATTTCGTTCCTGATTTATTTATTTTGTTTTGATTTGATATTTTCAGATTTTCCAAATTTGCTCCAAAATTATATATTTTTGTCTTGTCCACAAAGTTATGAATCCTACCTTATAACGTCCGTATGTTTATTCCGCCGCAGTTCACTTGGATATATAACTTTAAAAAATCCTGATATACAGCAGAGACGAGCCCCAGGTATATGTAATAATCCCATCATGTACTGTCGTTTAAAACTAATTCCATCTTTTATATTCTGTTACATCAAATTCATACAATTAAAATTCAGTTCGAATGGAGTCCGCCAAGAGTTGACGGCCCCTTCAGTTTCTTTGTAGAATAAATTTGATTCCGTTCATCAAGTACGTCAAGACTTTTACCTTAGTTCGTAGTCAGAAAAGGTCGTTTAATATGGATAGTTTGATTGACGGATAGCCAAACAAACGTCAATCACAATCATTCGGCACAGGGCCATTGTCGCCCTTGATTGATAGGTGCCAATCAAAGCTATCAAAAGCCGACAGCTTGATTGACAGTTATATACACAAACGTCAATCATCTAACTGATGGTCAACTATGCCGAAGAGAGCGCACTTTCCCCAGAAGTATTAATTTAAGTGGGGGAAATAAAAAGAAATTAACCGGCGTTAGCTCTTCAAGTTATCAAAAGTATAAATATACGAAACTAAAGACTTACCGCTTCCAGCTATTTCTTATGATATATCTTTTTATTCTAATTGTCTTTTGTAAAACGGCAGGTAGGAAATAATTTTCACCACATTCGCGGCATGTTCTCTTCTATTGTTTTAGCCTTTTTCCCAAGAGAATATGCTCTGTATATCAGTTCTACCTGATTTTTAACACCATGTTGTTTGTCTTCGTAAGTATGACCTGTGACGAGACTGGAGAGAGTTAGCGGTGTACACAATCACCAAGAACTTCGCCCCTGAAATTTCCATGTCCACTTCTACGGCCGTCCAGCAGGATTACGTCGCTTTTGGCGTATTTGTAAGGACCCAATCCATGTTAAATAAAGCCTCGGTCACGAATTTTGGGTGCAGCGGAGGCCGTGGAGTTTGTAGAGGCAGAGGAAAGATGGTCAAATGGAATGGCAATGGAAAGGCGCAAGTCTCCCCTCCGAGTCGCAAGGGCCACGTTAGTTGTTCTTTCAAGCAGGGACGCTAATTGCAAGGCCCGATGGCCGTGGAAATTGTTCTCATTTTTTGAGTTTGTTTTGCGGCCTCTACGTCACTTTTTCCTCCTGTTCTCCTCTTCTTTCTTCTTCCTCCTCACTTCTTTTCTGCTCTCCAAGGTTTCTTCCCTTGCCTTTTGAAAGCAGATTAGAATCTGAACTGAGCAAAATGTGAAATTTTGAAAATTGTTGTACACGTTGCACAATCGACGAGCTGACAGCGCACTTGAAATTTGTTAATAACTTGCGTGACTCCTGAGATGCTTAGCAAGATTTCGACGCAAACAGCCGTTAGAGCCCGAACGGCCGGTTGTGACCGGGGCTTTTTAAAACGACTAAACCACGGAGTGCGTAGAACCANATATATATACTCGTGAATACATGAAATACATGTACCCTATTACACTGATATTACTCAATAGAGCTCTGATACATCTAAGTTTAATTATTTGTTTGTGAAAATTGCCCATGTCACCCTGTTAGTTTGGAGGGCTAAGCTGGATCAAGTCCGTGTGAAATTATTTGAAGCTTCGCATGAAAAAAATCTTCCTTTGTTTCTCTAGCTCCTTATTAAACCTGGTGTCCATATTTTATCTAGTGACCCCAGGTCTACGGGAGCTGCTCTTTGAAAATAACGCACAGGTAGATTTTACCTGAGATAAATATTGCCAGCGAGAGTGCGTTCGTTACTCTCATGACTACAGGAGAGTTGAAGGCCACTTAACCCTCCAATTAAGAGGTAAAGGATGTTCCAGTTAGATGGACGATTAAGATAGGACTTGTATAGGTAACAGGCATTGTTTACCTCAGTTGAATAAAAGTATGCAAGACGGGGGTCCAGAACAATTGTGCGTATAGAGGATTTGTACATACAGGTGACTTTAATTCTCAGAGGACATTCGATATGTATTCCGTGAAAAATACACTAAATTTATATAAAATAATATCATGGTTGGCCAAAAAAATTGTACGCACAGTGCATCCGTGCGTATGCCTAGTTACGCCCATGACTTCCCGCACTCTGTTTTCTCTGAACTTTGTCTGTTTCTTCACATCGATACGCAGCGATTGAAGCGAAAAAAATCACACACCTCTCCCTTACTCAGAAAATTATGGGACCGCTGTCGTATGAATTCCCAAGAAGCGTGAAAATCATACCTCCCCTCAGCAAATTAATGGATTCGCCTGTATGTGTGCCTAGCCCCCTTATCCCACATCCACCCAACCTAAAATTGTTCCTAAGATGTCCCATTTCAAATGATAGGCAAGTGGTTCAAAGATTATTCCTTTATTTGATCTGGTCCGAGGTTTCATCGATGACTACCATTGGTGTTTTGGCACCAATGTGGTATCCACTCCAAATAATAACGCTGTCAATGCCCCTAGTCACTTTAGAAGCGGCACACGCCTTGTCGTAGGCCTCTTCAGGATGTCTGTAAACTCTGTTTTGACCAGTTCAACGGTATATGTGAAATATAACCTCATGAAAGAAAGCCACGCGGTTATCAGTGTTCTACCCAGAAACGGTCATGGTCCCAAATTTACTAGAGAAACAGACGGCGCTGTTTTGTTGTTTACAGTGGCTTCTCAGAGGTCGTCTGGTATCTTTACCTGCTGAAACCAGTTTGGTGTTCGATAAGAGCATTGAAAAACTCGTTTTGGTGACAGTTTGCCCCTCATTCTGAACGGACTGGGTGGTTTTTTGTTTAGTTGCAGCAGCATATCCTGAAGCACAGTGAGTCCTGTACCTAGGTGTTAAGATGTCGATACACTGGGTGTGGTCTCTGTGTCATGGCTCTATAAAACTGTGCAGACAATTCCGTTTGACACAACAATCTGGTTGGTAATGTCTGTCACAGATTCTGGCACAGATAAACAATTTTGTAGAACACCGTTTAAGTCATTTTATGTACTGCAAAACTGCCCGCTTGCAGTAGTTGCCGACGTATGGATACTTTTTTGACAGGCATAACGTCACTGATTGCAACATGATTAACAGATGGGGCAGGTACCCGGTGCGATGACGTCATTACAAGCGTGGTTTGTCTC